TGTCCGTTCAGTAGCCGATGAAAGAGATGGCTTTTGGGTGTTTACAATGTGCCGCTAGACCGTGCTCTGAACCTGGAAAGGCTCTAGATAGTCGTATATAGGTAAATGTCACTTCTTGAGTCTCCGATTCGCGTAGATATTGCGAGAAAAAGGCCAATGTTTGGTTTCGGGAGCTTGAAGGCGCCTGTGATTGACGTGTCAAATGGCAGCTGCAGAATCTGGGCGACATTCCGGGTATAGTCCAATTTTCATCGTCAAAGCCCGATGAATACACAGTTTAAGGATATGAGATGAGGTCGCAGTGCTGTCTGCCGAACTTTCGGCTGAGTTTTCAGGCTAATCATTGAAAAGCTGTATCATTGACAGGGAATCAGTAAGTAGAGGAGCAAACAAAGATATCTGAATTACGCACGCTCTCAACCCTGTCTTCGCATTCGTCGTTTAATCATGGGGTGTAAACCAATGAAAGGGCGCTCTTTGAATCCCAAATTTTACCTGCGAAAATGTGGTTGGCGTCAAGAGGTTGCAGGCCAATATCTCACGAATTACGCGGTACTAAGTTTCGACCTTGTATGGAAAGATGGAGAAATACCCAGAATAAATACCCACGAGTAGCCAGAACTCGAAGAAAGGGAATCAAGCAACCCGGCTCGGGTCAAGATGTCCCTGAATAGCGAGCCGCTTGAAAGTGTGATGATGGAAGTCGGAAGTAAACAGTTCACTTTCCAAATTGGGAACATTCCGGTGTGAACAGAGATCGAACGCGCAATATTATGAACGATGGCAATGTATTGATTTTCTCTGAGTTACAACACTTTACAGGACTTATGTGGGTTTGACAGCATCCGGAAGGACAGCTGACGAAGCCCACCAAATCGGAACGAGGACTAGTACAGAAAGAAACCTACTACAAACTAATTATAACAGCGGTACTCATGGCAGCGCCCCGAACGACTACAGCTATGAGCCAAGCCCAAATATTGGCACTTTACTGCCACTTGGTGAAGGACCACTTCTGGTTGTCCGTGATGGAGCTCGAGTCGAAAGCAGACAGTTGAACCTATAGATATCGTCAGTGGTCACGATGAGCTGAAACTCAGAGGAGTATGTGTCGCCCTACTCACCAAGCCATTGTTGTTGGTCACTGCGTAGCCGTTGACGACAATGCTGGAAGCGGATAAGTAATATTATCGAGACTTGGTCGGTCATGTTGCACATACGTGTAGACATCGGCACCAGCGTTGGGAACATGGGTCAGGACCCACTGCTTGGAAGCAGTTCCGCCGACAACATCAGCGTCGGGAGCAATGGCGGTGGTCACGGTGGCACCAAGCTTCCTGGTGCTACCATCGTAGAAACTGAACATGTAGTAGTACGCGCCACTGTTCTGATTCTCGGTGTGCCACTGTATGTTGATCATCAGTTTGCAGTTCATATTCAGGAGACCAACGGTCCTACCTTCATCTGGCTGGAGCCGTCATCCTGCTGGAGACTGAGAGGGGTGTTGGGGGTCTCGCTAGCGAGGGCGAGGTAGAGACCTCCGTTGCTGACTTTGTAGTATTGAGTGGGCAAAGGCATTGTGGATGAGGTAGATGTTTAGAACAATTGAGAGACTGAAGAGACTGCTGAAGATATGGAGTCCTCCCGACGTGGTTTTATACCAGTTTGAGGCGGGTGCAAATTCACCAAAATATTCTGACTAGAATTCTCGAGAGTCGAGGTAGACTATGCACTTTGATTGACATCCAGAGCCAGCGCTCTAGAGTTTTGCCGGCACAAGAGACGTCCAAAAGAGATATTCTTGACTGTGTGCTCCATTGGACTGAATTGAGAACCCCCAGAATGTGACAAGGCACTATGAAGAATGAATTAGCCATGCCATTGGACTGACAAGCGCAGTATTGCGTTTTACATGTCAAAACCCAGGTAGGACAATTATTGGAGAGAGGACAAGAGCGGCGGATCGCAGGAGCGAAGCCTGAGAGCATATGATCACCATACACATTCTATGGCAGTAACTGAATTGCGCACCTTGCCGGTATCTATTACCCCAGAACATGTCGTTTGCCCGATTGAGTGACCGGTGACATAGATCGCCGATGCTTATGAGAAGCCTTTGAAAGCCGTATATAGGTCGGTAAATTGGCAGTGATGACTGGTGGAATGAAAGTCTGGGTCGGCGCGATGAAAACATGTCCTATTGAATCCAGCCGACTCCAAGAAGCTTTAAGCCCCGTAAGGCTTCAGGGACGACCACCATCTCCTCAAATCTACGGCAAATTACGAGTGACACTCAAACGTTGGTGAAGGAAAAGCGGCGGTGATTGACATGTCGACATTTTGGGTACACCGTACAGCCTAGATCTTCCTTGCGTAGTGATCGATGAATCTCCATTTTCGTGAGTTGAGGTGAGGTCGCGGAACTGTCATCTGAAAAGTACGTTTCGGATGGTTGTGATGTCCATCGGAAATGAACTGGACATGAATAGATGGAAGAGTTTTGTATTGCGCACTGTTTTATTTTTTTCCTGTCTATATGTTCCATCTAAGAAGTCCTAAGTCACTCGCATTTCAGCCCAGCTCAAAAAAGTCCATCATCAGAAATATACACCTGTCAACCAGACAGCTGAGTCTTCAACAACGTGCGATATCAACTTCAGCCTGTAGACAAAATAGTGATTTAGAACCTATGACCAGGAAAAAAAAACGTGAAAGAGAAACATACAGGTCCCGCAAGCTGAGGGGATCGAGTAATTCCGTTGAAAGACTGAACCCAGTACTTGATGAGTCAGAGTCAGAAGAAAGCCGTTCACCTTCCAAATTTGGAGCATGTGGCAGGTGTGAGCCGAAATGATAGGCGCGCATGAAAACTAGCGAGTATAACGCAAACAAACGGATTTATTTCTTCGGGGTTTTCTACAAATGTATAACAGACACACAAAGATATCGCTTGCTCCCTAATAGGAGATCTAGCGAACCAAGACAAGGAGAAGTACAGAAGGTACAGAACATAATTGCATTCATGGTCAGCGCCGGACGACTACAGCCACGAGAACTAGGGACAAAGCCCCAACATTGACCCTTTACTGCCACTTCGTGAAGGTCCACTTCTGGTTATCCTTGATAGAGCTTGGGTCGTAAGCCGAAAGCACAACCTATGTATACCCGCCGTAAGCCTCGAAGCAAAGATGTACAACTCTAACATTTGCCCAACTTACCAAGCCGTTGTTGTTGGTCACTGCGTAGCCGTTGATAACGATACTGAAAGCAACATCAGCCAGGTGGCCAAGACTCGTTCGATGAATTGCACGTACGTGTAGAAATTAGTGCCGGGAACAAGAGTCACGACCCACTGCTTGGATGCAGTTCCGCCGACAACATCAGCGTCGGGCGCGATGGCGGTAGTCACGGTGGCTCCGAGCTTCCTGGTGCTTCCATCGTAGAAACTGAACATGTAGTAGTACGCGCCACTGTTCTGGTTCTCGACGTGCCACTGTGCGTTTATGATTAGCTACCTGTTCACCGAGAGGAGACGAACGGTCCTACCTTCATCTGACTGGATCCGTCATCCTGCTGAAGACTGAGGGGGTGTTGGGGGTCTCGCTGGAGAGGGCGAGGAAGAGACCTCCATTGTTGATTTTGTAGTAAGCGGTAGGCAAAGGCATTATGAATGAGAGAAGTAGATCGCTTGAGTGATTTGGGTAACTCTGCTGAAGATGGTGAGCTTTTCGTGCAAGGTTTTATGCCAGTAGAAGGTAGGACAGACCTCTCCAAATATGTCAGAGCAGTATAGTGCTGCATTGCAGTCGATTGAATCATTCGCCAGAAAAGTCTTGACTAAGCTTGGTCTTCCCGTGGTTCCAGCCACCCAAGTAAAGAGTTTCGACGTGCTCCATGGTACGCAGTCACCTGAATTGTATTGCAGGATGATGTACACTGACAGGTACCGTGGCGATAACAAGATTTGACACCTCCATGGTGAGACCTGGGGTAAGTAAAAATCATATACGCGGAGATGGGCGCTCGAGCGAGACCTGACCAAAGGTCAGAAGACAACTCGTTGACAGTCCTGAGATGATAAAATGCTCACCTGCGATAATCAAGTCACAAAGTGCTCAATCTGCTGTCTGGCCTGAAGATCCCGATTGAGTAACCGGAACAAGAAGATGCCGATGCAAAGCAGTTACTATTGTGAGCATTTCTAATGATCGCTTGAGTGCAGTGTGCTGAGAGGCTAAACTTGGGTATTCCAGAACCCAGGGTTTGACTGGTGAGATGAAGGATGCGCGGTGTTCAATGGAGCATTGGAGGGTTTTCATCTTCAGCGGTGCATTCTTTCCGAATCGAGGAGTTGTATCCAATAGAATGAAGGGTCTTCATGCGTAAACGAAGTCTGATCAAACGGTTACGAGTCCGAGTTTACGAGGAATCGTCTTGTATCTATTTTTAGAACAAATTTTTGTGCAGCCAGCTCTAGTGAACGACTGTAGCCAAAATGTGGGAACCTTCCTTATTTGGGTTAATTAAATTTTCAAACATCGGAGTTCCGATGTTTTTGTTTTAATAAAATAAAAAATAAAATAAAATAAAATAAAATAAAATAAAAAAATAGAATAAAAATAACAGAATAAAAAATGAAACATCGGAGTTCCGATGTTTTTGTTTTGATAAAATAAAATAAAATAAAAAATTAGGAGCAGAGCCCACTCTGTGATGCTTAGTGAGACACTGGGTAGTTATCCAACTAAGTTACAGTGACGACATAAGAACGTCGTGTTTTGTGACTGATGTCAGATAATTGATTTGGAGCACCAATATAAAATAGACTTCATTTGCAGAGCATTTCTTGTCGACGATTCAAAATTTACTTGTAAAGAATTGCAATCTGCATCCTTTGAATAAAGAACTTAAAATGTCGGGAGACTGGATTGGATAGAGGAAAAAAAAACAGGGAGCTAATGGAATTCCAGAAAAAAAGCCAGTGTTTACAAGGCTACAGGCGTCCCAGCCAGGAATTGAACCCGGTACCTCGTTAAAGGAGCGCGAAACAGTGTGTTCATAACGGCGGCTATTCCATTAAGCCACTGGGGCCTTGCAACTGTTTGCAAAAATATCGGCAATGATGCCATTTATGCTTCCTTTTTTAAAGGTGGAAGGGTCGTTGGCCACTCGCATTGGAGTTCCATAATATCAAAGGGAGATTGAATAAGAAAACCTCGGTGGACCGATATGCTCATTGAACACGTCAAACGTTAAGATATCGGATCTCCGATGTTTTGAAAACAGAATTTTCGCAGCCCAAAATAGTAAAAACAAACAGCAACCCACTGGGCGTTGAAGAGTAACAGCCTAATTGTTATGAGATCTACGCAGTATGCAGTTTCAAATTCACTGAAATCATAAAAAACTAAATGTGCTAAAGTCTAGTGTTGGGAGACTGAATTGAATAGAGAAAAAAAAACCGGGAGTCTGAAATTCCAGAAAAAATCGACGAGCTTCCCGGACAGGCGTCCCAGCCAGGAATCGAACCTGGTACCTCGTTAGGAAAGGAACGTGAAACAGTACATTCATAACGGCGGCTATTCCATTAAGCCACTGGGGCCTTGCAACTGTTTGCAAAAATATCGGCAATGATGCCATTTATGCTTCCTTTTTTAAAGGTGGAAGGGTCATTGGCCACTCGCATTGGAGTTCCATAATATCAAAGGGAGATTGAATAAGAAAACCTCGGTGGACCGATATGCTCATTGAACGTGTCAAACGTTAAGATATCGGATCTCCGATGTTTTGAAAACAGAATTTTCGCAGCCCAAAAACAAACAGCAACCCACTGGGCGTAACAGCCTAATTGTTGAGATGTACGCAGTATGCAGTTTTAAATTCACTGAAATAAAAAACTAAATGTGCTAAAGTTTAGTGTTGAGAGACTGAATTGAATAGAGAAAAAAATCGGCGAGCTTACCGTGCAGGTGTCCCAGCCAGGAATCGAACCCGGTACCTCTCGTTAGGAAAGGAACGCGAAACAGTACATTCATAACGATGGCTATTCCGTTAAGCCACTGGGCCTTGCAGCTGTCTGCAAAAATATCAGCAATGGTGCCATTCTCTTTCCCTGCAAATGTAACGTTTGTTAAAATGTCGGAGCTCCGATGTTATTATTCTCGAGCTCTGATATACTGGTTAAAATAATGTAAAAACATCGGAGCTCCGACATTTTGACAATAAATGGAGTTGTCACTATTCAATTCAAGCAGAATTAGGGTTTAAAAAGCAGGAATTTCAGAGGTCATGCGTCACTTCAGGGAATTGAACCCTAAACCACTCCATGAAGCTTAGTAAGGGAACACCAGCTGCTATCCAACTAAACTACAGTGACAGGATTCACAAAATGACATACTAATTAAAGCTGTATGAGTGGAATGCCGATGAATTTGAACACTGACTCACACCTTCGTTTGATACGCCAATCTCTGTAGTTTAGTGGTAGAATGCTCTCTGTTCCTTATTAATCAGGTCGGAGACGTCTGGAGTTCGATTCTCCGCAGAGGTGCTCCTGGTACTGTATGTTTCGCTTTTGTATTCTGAAGTTTACAAGGAATTGTCCTGTATCTTTTTTTAAAAAAAGCAACAGAACCTGGCTTGTATGGCTTTATCAATAAGTCAGGCTTCTGCATGACTTAGACTTTGTTTCAAATTCCAGCATAAGGATGCTGATTAGCTAGGTCTGTTTTAATGATGGCAGGCTGCAATTCTTTACAAGCAATCAGTATAATTGAAGTTGCACTTAAATTCACAAAAATGCGTAATAGATGCATTCTCTTTACATAGCTAGTCTGTAATGAGTATAAGCAAGTCATTTCAAGAAATAATAGTCAAGAAATTATGTTCTGGTAATACAGTTCCAAGAGTTAGCTCCTTCAGCAATTATTCATCCAACATGCATCTTCTTTAGTTGTCTGGCTGTTTGGCTTTCTATTTCTTCCCAATTCCCTATTTTCCTCTTTAGTTGAGGTCGGGTGGGCCGAGAAGCATTCTGTTGGGCCAATGCAGCATCCTGTGAAACAGTTAATCAAAGCCATACAAAATGGAAAAGGCCATACCAAGGTAAAGGAAGAGTCCAGCATAGTAATTGACCGAAGTGTAGGAAACGTCTTATAAGGCGGTGTTCCGCTCTTACCGATCGGTACCGTTGCGAGTGTAAATTGGACTTCAACATGGTCCCCAGCTCGGAATACCGATGGATTAATGAAGGAAAACCTGTTTTGGTTTGATTTTAACAAATATCAAGTGAAAACAAATTGGGCCTACTCTTGTGAATCTTTGCCTAAGTCTTTACATTGCCAATACTCCACAACATTGTCTGCAGTGTGTTTATAGTCATCACCAGCCAGATTTCGCAAGTGCCGATTTGGGTCAATCACGTCCGTAATCTCGATTGCTTCAGAGGCAAATTTCTTGTGGATCAAATATCGGTTGGAAAGAGTCAGAGTTTCTCCATTAGAATTCTGGTCAATGCAAGTCATGGAAGTGCTGTGTTCAGCCGAAATGTTTCTACGAAGTATTTCATCGGCAATCCGAATGCCATCAAGGGACTTGGTAAATATCGGGTCTCCGAGACCGGATAAAATTACACTCTGCCTCAAATGGGAGGGATTGCAGTGTCTGGATTTGTGAAGTTAGACATTTATTCTTTTTGAAACAAAGAATAAAGACTTGACTTTGCTGGACCGTTTTTGAAGGGTGGAAGGTCTGCAGTTGCAATGATTCCATGAATGATAAACACCAGCTCTTCCTCCCCTGAAACAAGCACCCATCCTCGATCGTCGTTGCTCTTGCAGGTATTCAGATGCTCTGACTAAACAATGCTTTCATTTTCTATTTCAATCAAACAACACAGCACTACTCACAGGCGTCAATGTGTGAATGTTAATCTTTGCTCCTTCTGCCATCGTCCTGATTTCAACAAGGTTTCTCAGAGCCTGTTCTGCCATTGGAGGTTTAATAAGAGCTAAGCTAAGAGCAATAAACCAACCACTTACTGGCTCCTTCAATGTTGTAGGTGGTTTGCATGCGTAGTGGTTAATGTAAAAGGAGACTTTTAGTCCCATCACTTGCAACGATCCCTGCTAGTATTGATGGGTCATATGAATATCCATATTTGGCATTTAAAATTTTCTGCTTCCTGAAAATTTTAAAATGAATAGTCTATACCCTGAACGACCTGTAAAAAAATTTTCATGGTCAGGCGGTAGTAGTTCTGTACCCTGAAAAATCTCATGAAAAAAAAAAGTAATCAGCTGGTATGGCTATTACCTATTTTAGATTAGTGGTATGCTTACTTACATGCTTCTTTGATGGTGTCCTTACCATATCTAGACACCCTCCGACTGTTTTGGATTAGTGTTTAATGTTGATTCCTTGGTCTCTTCTGAGCTTCTATCAATGACATAGCGCATCATGTATCTATGCTACTTTATATACGTTGCTTTACTGGTTTTCCCACCAGTCCATTCCTCCATGTCTCCCTCAAAGAAGAACCCTCAACCTCCTCACACTCCAGAAGCTCCTCTCGAGTTTTCTCTTGATAGTGCTTCTAAGCAACATCTTGAAGTTGGGCCAGGAGTATCAGTTCAGTGAGTTGTGTTTAATCTAGAATTCAACAGGGTACTGACTTGATTTTAGTGCGCCACTCATGCCTTCAGTCCAATATGCCAGACAATCTCCTCCCCGACAATTTCTTGTCCAATCTGAAGAACCACAGCCTTTGCCATCTAAAAGAAAGTGGGTGTTAACTACATTTTGTGATGTGTTGTTTGTCGATGCTTTTTGCACAGATCGATTCCAACAGCCAAGGCTCAATATCTCATCCAGAACAATGACAATGAGGAATCTCAGTATGTTTTTGTTATTTTTTATGTCCGAACCATTGCCAATTCAATTCAGAATTGCTCGTAACATTTTTGAAAGTAATAAGGGTCTTGAATTAGAGTAAGTGCATATCTAAAGTCTTAAGTCTCTGATTGGCCTTATTTTTTGCCAGGTGTATCTCGGTCGGTGAACCTGAAGACCAAGATAGCTCCGGCAATCCGAATATTTTTGAGTTCGTGTTTACAGATTGTATTTTTACCTTCACTCACATATGGGTAGATCTGCACGCAAAGAACACGAAGGCGCCTTGTCTAATGACAAAGGAAATGAAGGTGCCTCTTCTACAGAGTAAGTTTTCATCAAGGAAAAAAAATGCAATTAATCGGTCTTCCGTAGAGCTTCAGACCCTTCTAAATGGGAAACTCCCCTTGGCAACTTCCGCAAGAAGGATGAAAAAAAGTAAGACATACTGACTTTTCTGAAACAGCTGCTTACTCTTGGAAAGGCCATTTCGTCCTACTGCCTTGCACGGCTTTAATCCGGATGCCCTTCGGGATGCCGTCAATAAGAGTTCGTAAGTATTGCTTGTTGAGCAAGGTGTGCAGTAACTAATATTCAAGCAGGTCTGCCTATCAAACCCCACCTCCTACTGTGAAGAAGAGAGCACGATCTCCGTGGGTTTCTTTTTATTGTTGTTACTAATACAAAATAATATTTCTATTAGCCAAGATGAAGTGGAGTCTCCTTCCCCAGTCAAGAAACGATTGGACAACCAGGACTTAGGCAGTCCCGTTCCAAAGGCTAATGAGTCTAGGTAAGTTATAGGATGGTATGAACAAGGAATTGGCTGATGTTGTATAAGCTCAATTCCAGCTACTTTTGTGCTTACATGGCCAGATGGACGCCAGGTTAAGGTTCAAGAAGTTCTTGAAAAGTGCACCTTGTTTTTTTCAAAATTTAAACTTGTGCTTAGTTTTTTTTTAGATCGCCAGCCGATCTTCCTAGCTCTGTAGGCGGCAACAACAGTCAACGGGGCACCAATGATCCTATTCATACTTCTAACAGCAATGTTCGGAAGACCGAATCTTCTGCTCCAACGGCACCCGCTTCCAAACAGGCATTCGGCACCGATGATTCTATTCATACTTCCAACAGCAATGTTCGGAAGACCGAATCTTCTGCTCCAACAGCACCCACTTCCAAACAGACATTCGACATTCCACCGGCAATCCCTTCATCTCCAGAACCTGAGTATGTTCCTGCTGAACCTTGGACCTTTGAACGGGACCCCGAAAAGGAAGCAGAGGTGGAAAGATCTTTCATGGAGCTGACTGTTCCTCCTCTTGTTCGCTTCACCGCTTCAATTCAAAAGTTCGACTCTCAAACTCAAAGGAAAATGATGAATCGGTATCATGCAAAGTACTTGTTTTTCTTTCATATACATACATGTCTAATATTTTTTCTCCAGGGCAAAATATAAGGATTTTCCAGAGAACATCAGACAAATTTTCAAGCCTCGCTGGCAAGATAGGTTGATGCGAGACTTTTATTTGAAGTCTGCAGCACAGCCTCATTCAGCACTGTATGCTTCTGCTCATCCTCCATTATTTTTAATTGACTTAATTTTTGTAGTTTGAGACCTTCGATGTTGGTGCCTTATACGATTGCTACATCCGCCGAGAAGAAGACCCGAATTTTTGCAAGCTTCCATAGAGTTGTTGAACCTATGTCTCCTGTAGCAGCAACGTAGGTGCATGCACTACTTTTAGCAAAATTCTCTCTAACTTCATTTAGAACTGTATCTCGCATGTTGCAGTTCACTAATTACAGCAATGTTGTCAACCTTTCTAGGTGTCCTGCTGCTTTCATCGGTCACATCTCAGGTAGAGAGTACCTTTCCATTGGGGAAGGTCCTGCTCAAGGTCAAAACCTTGTTTCAATCGTTACGGGGGTTGTGTATTCCAGTCACTTGGAAAAAGCAGTAGGGGGTATAAACAAGAATGGTAACAACGTCGGTGGGGCCAAAAAGATTTGGGTTCAGCCATTTGGTCAAGAGATTCAGCTGTTCGAAGCAGTTCTTGGAACGGCCCTTCGTCTGCCTGTTATTCAAGGCCCAATTGCCAGTGGTGCTTTGTGTTTTAAGACTAAGAATGAAGGATTTGAACCTAGTGAGCCTGTTACTTTTTCCAATTAATTTGCTGCCCCTAACATTATATATAGTCTCTGCCCCAACTCCTTGGGAACTTAGTGAGAACAGCAGCACCAAAGCTCCAAGGCCCAAGAAGCTATACAAAATTGGGTCGACTCCTTTCACTCTAGCTGATGCAACTGGTTAGTGCCTTTTCTGATTTTTTATTCTAAGTTAACTTTTTCTACAGTACCAGTTTATGATGGCAGAAGTAACAGTTCTCGAGGTTGCACAGGTTTTCGAGGAAATCCCCAAGATTGGGATCATTTGACTGAGCTGGCAGAATATCCTTTGTATGTCTCAAAGGGTGACATTGTGTCTGTTGGACACACAATCTCTTATCGTTCTAACCCAGGCTCTGAGTCAGTGGTTTTCAATCTCCTTTTTGTTATTGTGTTGGGTCAGAAGGGAAACCCCTCGGATGCCGGAGAAGGGAGCGGGATAGAAACTTCCACATCTGATACTATGGATTTTTGAACTTCTGTATTGCAATACTTCTTGAACACCCTGTAACTCAACTTTGTTTAAGTAAATGGGCTGTTTGTACAATTAGTTAACAATGAATTAAGCCCAGCTTCTGGTTCAAAGAATATTAATTTGGCATATCCTAAGAGCAACAGCTTAATTATTGTGGGATCTGATTGCAAAATGAAAAATGTAAAAAAAAAGCAAGTACAGGGGGGACTATGCTCAAGCTGGGAATCGAACCCAAGACTTGAAATGACTTATCAGCTTTGTCAGTTCAATTCCTCATCCACTAGACTATTGAGCTGATTTGAAACGCACATCAAGATATCGAATTGCTATGCAATTCTATGTCTCAGATAAATTCGCCGAAATCATAAAAGGCAGGGAAACTAAAGTGCACGAGTCCTTGGAATTGAAGAATTTGCCGAAATTCTTCGGAACTCCGACGTTTTGAGGTTTAGAGGCATATCGGTACACCGAGGTTTTGCTTTTGCAACTTGCAATTGAAGAATTTATAATTTATTTGCCGAAATTTTTCGGAACTCCGACATTTTGAGGTTTAAAGGCATATCGGTGTGCCGAGGTTTTGCTTTTGCGACTAAGCCTGATGAGCGGATTACCGATGTTAAAACCATCAAAATTCATCAAAGTAATTGTAATTTGAAATGCCAAACCATATCTGGAAGATTCCGAAGGCTGTAACACAATCCTCAAATGGAAGCTTACATAATTATTCACCTCTTATTCTCTTACCACCATGTCCTATGTGCGTCGATCACTGGAAGCTTCTGCTTCTGCAGACTTTCCCCAAGATACATATGGAGCACTTCTAGTGTCTGGGTTTGATCTCTCTGACTTGTTGTTAACAAGAGCTAAACACGAAAACCTTCAATTAAAAAATATCGATCCCAAACACCAATGGTCGGATTCTGATAAGTAAGCCAGCTTATAGAATTAAACCAGCATCTCACTAACTAGAACATAGCACAATAATGGTCAATACCAAAATGGAGCCAAGATTAAAACACCAACATGACTTTGAGTAAGAACTGTTCCTCAGCACTATTTTTGGTACTTAGATCAGTTACAGTGAGTTGGGAATAGAAAATTTGGAAAGGAACGCCGAACACTTAAGGTTTAGCTTTTAAGATTTTGACAAAATTCAAAATTGATGTTAAATAGATCTCCACTCTCAGAAAACACTCGATCAGATACTGATCGCTCCATACAACTTGCACTAAATTCACCTCTGGAATCTCCTCGGCACTCCGATGACAATAATTCCGTGCTATCTGATATAATAGACCTATTCGACTTGGATTCAAGTTCAAGTTCAAGAGTTGGAAATTCTCCTGAACAAAGTGATGACAATTCTTTGTTATCAGATATATTAGATCTATTCGACTTGGAATCCATTTCAGGTTCAAAACTTGGGGATTCTGCTGAACAAAACAATTCTTGTTCAGATATCTTGGATGAATTTTCTGATAGCTCTGGTAACAATCAATTTGATTATTTATCTATTGGTTTTACTTATGCTATCCCATTAGAATCAAATTCAGAAGAAACAAATCTTTCTCTTGACCCAGAATCAGATATATGGCTTCTAGAGTTGCTGGATAATTTTTTCGGTGATCCGGTTGACGATCTACCTCTAGATCTTCATCAAGCTCTTTTAGAACTTCCTTCTGTGTTATACAGGTAGCCTTTTGCAAAATATTTTATTTGCCAATGCTTATCTTTTTTAGTACAGTTAAATCTCTTGGGGATTCCAACATCAAGACTAGTGTATATATCCCTAAAAAGGGCTTCTTCGACATAACTAAAGATGGGAGGGTGTCAAGCCCAGGATGGTTGGGAGTGAATGTGCCTAGAGACATTCGAAGTGCAATTACCAGCTATCTCTCACAAGGAGGGAAATTGGATCATTTAGTGCTCATTTATTATGAGAGGTGAGCTTCTATATAATACAATGATACTTTGTTTATTGTTTCACCAGGGAAGCAACAAAAATTTCTGATGGTCAACGAAGGGTTGTAATCTTTCGATCCTTCATTACACCATTCATGGAATGGAGTCTACTTCCCAGAGTTATTCAGGAGGTCCAAGAGTACATGGATAGGACTTCCACAGTATCTGAAAGATTAAGATCCAAGAATTTGAGAGGCTCTTATTGGATAGGGATGGCAGGGTGGGATCGTAATAACAAAAAGGCAAGCAATACATTGAAATATCTATGCAAGTTTTATTGATTCCTATCAGGTTCCTACAAAAACAAAATGGCATATGGATCACCAATCAACAATTGAAGAATTTTTCCAACCAGGTCGTGTGTTCTATGAACTCACGGAATACGGTTGTACTCTTCTCTGCAAGGTTTTCCCAAAGATTGCAGAACGTTACAGAAAATGTTCAGCAAAAATGAAACACCGATATGGATTTTCAGCCCCTTTTGGAGGACTTTTTTTTAACTTCTGTGTTAATGGAATCATGGCAGGTCATCCCAGAGTCAAATGCCTACCACATATAGACTTCAAAAACTTGGCACTGGGTGTTTGCATGATATATGTGTATGGTCATTTTGATCACAAAGAAAAATGTTGGATAGTCATATGGGAAGCTGGAATTGCTTTGGAACTTCCTCCAGGAGTATTTCTTATATACCCATCATCACTCTTTCTTCATTTCAATGTTGACTTGGATGGTAAGCAAATTCATGATATATGAAACAATTTTAATGACAAATAAACAGATTTAAAGTTTGTGGTCACTGATGGCGAGCCTCCTACTCCTGCCAACAGTGCTCCTCTTTGCCCTGCATGTGGAAGCTCAAATCCAAATCATATTCAAAATTGGAAGGATGGCAATGGAAGAGGATCATTAGTTTGGTTCAACCAGGCCAGTCTTTTCCAAAGTGCAGAATTGGGATTCAATACCATTAAAGAAGCGAAAAGAGAAGGAGTTCCGACAAAATGCAAGGTTGGAGCTACAGATGCATTTGATACTTATTGGTAAATCGTTATGATCACATGTATCACATGACTTATAATATCACATGAGTCCTTTGGTGGCTGTAACATGTCAATATAAATAAACAACAAAGGCATATAAAAACTGCTTGTTAAAATGCCTTGTTTCCCACGTCTTTGATCCCATCTTACCGCCTACCATCATGTCGCTATTGCTCTACATTTTACTACTTCTAACATGTATATTGCATGCAGGTAACTAAAAAACTTTGCTACATTATTAGAATCTCAATATCCTTAGAACAAAAATGCAAGACCTCCCAGTCTCCTAAATTAGATGTTTCAACATCTAAATCAATCCACTTGTTACAAGAAAGTAAGGTTTTAAATGCTATTATAATCTAGGTGCAAAGTATTGATTGCTACAGGTTTAGCTCATTCTTGTATGGAACTCAATGTGCTTGAGCCTCTATACCAAGAGTCCGTTGTGTACGGAACTCCGAAATTTGACATATCGGCTTGCCGAGAATCATATTTCGGCATTCCGAATACTAACTATTCCATAGGTCTTGGTAAGTTGGCTTTATTGCTATCTCCAACTAATCTCATTTTTCTATCTACAGATTCTTGGCTTCTTGATACTTGTCCAATGGGACGCTGTGTTCCTACACAGTCTATACTACTATCTTATGCCCAAAAGGGTCTTCTTGCATTATCAAATCTGCCATGTTCCACGTGGTCTTTAATATCCTCTATTTGCTCTTACATCAAAGACATTCTTTGTTCTTGTTACTTAATTGTGTTTAACATAGGTTATCCATATTGCCTTATTCAAGTTCATTTTGAACTGATGGCTAAACGTCTATTGTTCAGCTGTCTTTTGCAAACCTATTTAAAATGTTTAAAATCAATACTAATGAGAAGCAAGTTTTATATAACCCAAGTCCGACTCTATAAATTATTGAAAAAAATATCTAGAAGTACTATGTTCTATAAGCATCTTGGGCGTTTCTGGGTGCTGTCCACTGTGTTTTTTCATTTACTTGATGCAAGCAAATACAAAAATTACAGAGGCCTTGTTGGAGGTGGAGTTAAAGCTATCCCATGGTCGGTTATTGAACCGTATGTGTTTGAAAATCACTCTTTTTCTGTTCTAAGTGAAAATCATGTCTTCAAGTTGGTGGACCACCAGGCAGAAGGCATGCTTAAAAAATCTATTTCTCAGTACAAACAAACTCAACATATATTTGCCAAAATTCCTTTGCCTGTTTTATTACCATTCATTACTCAAAAAGATCGAAATAGCATTTCAAAGTTACATGGTTATTCATTTCGTAGTTGCAAAGAATCAATGGAAGAATGGTCTTATAAACACTACTGTGACTTGTGCCAAAATGGAGTATCAGTATTTCATGTAAATGCTCCAAGACATCTGAGAAAAAATGCAAAAGTAGTGCTAAACAACAAAGCTTATGCTCATAAAATTAAAGTTCCTGAAACAAAAATGGAAGTTGATAATAGAGAGCTTTCAAATGAAGTTCATTCCAAAGCATCGAAAAAATCACGCAAGAAATCTACAAAATCTAAAGCTCCTAAATTATCTAAAAAAACTAATTTAACGGCAGTCCGAACAACAGAATCTAATAATGTTGAAGTTAAGGAGTTCCCTCCTGCTCCCTTGACAGTACAAGATAACCAGAGAATTATTCGTAATGCTAGTTTAAGAATGACTAGAGATGAGGTTGAAGAAAAGGGATGTGCAGTCTGTGGTCAATTAACTCCAATTAAAAATTTATCTCCACTATCTAACATCAAGAATCTTTTACACATACTGCAAGTTCCTAACATAACAAGACAAGAAAGAAAACACCATAAAGACAGTATCAGAGAAAAGGAAGGCCCAATCTTAGCAAGCAATTGCACTTCAATCTGTAATAACTGCCGATCATACTTAAGAAAAGATAAAATTCCTCCTTTTGCTTTAGCAAAAGGTTTCTGGCTGGGAGATGTACCCCCTGTTTTACAAAATCTAAGATACATGGAAAGAATGCTAATAGCAAAAGTTAGACACACTTGCTGTTATGTCAGACTAGCAGCTGGAAGTGGTAAGAAAATGAAAGCTCATGCTATGGCTTTTGCTGCCCCTATTCCCAAAATATATCAATTTCTTCCACCTCATAGTTCTGAAATGGATGATGTATTGGCTATTTTATTTACAGGCCCCTCTAAACCAACCCCTGAAGACTGGAAAAGAACACCAGTTCTAGTGAGACGTAAGGCAGTACAGGAGGCTTTAGAATGGCTTATATTAAACCACCCTGACTATTCAGACGT